ATAAAAACAAATGAAATAAGCGCGTAAACTACTGTATTTCCATGTTGTGTATGTGTATTGTGCCATCTATCAATAGAATACTAATAATAGTGTGAAATGTGGTTGGCGTGAAGAAATAACCTCAATTTTCTAATGAAAATTTTACTTCTTCCAATATAAATTAGGTATGTCATTGAAATATACCTTATCTGATAGGGAATTTATCCACCTTCTTGTCATATATAACATATTCCATATAATTATACAGAATAACGTTTTCTTGCGACAAATTGGATTTTTTCAATTGTTTTTTTACCTTGTGTAGGAAACTTTCCAAGTAGACATAGAAGTGAGACTTCAGTGACTGTTATAAATTATATTATAAGATCTTTCACTATAAATCCAAACAAAACATAACACGTCTGTTCTAGTCAAAGATGTTTTTCGTAATGGCGGCCGCCTGTCACCGTTCCGTTGATATCGATGATGATGTTATCGATTTATTTCTTATTTCGATGAAACTAATTCTTAAAGACGCAAAGTAAGTTTTCTAACAAAATAAAATATTATAATGTCACGATACGCTAACAGACGGCCATTCTGCTCTAGGAATGTTCTCATTCCGGAATAAGCTCGGTCATTCGATAAGTGGAGAGCATGTTCTCATGCTTCTTCTAGAATTGCTCGTAACACAGGAGCAGTCGCTTCTCGATTAACTAGTCGGCACGGCAGTGCTCCCACAATGGTGCCTGCTATAACACCACTTACACATGAGACAATCACCAGCTGTTTGTCGTGGAAGATAACTCGATGACGTCTACAACTTTGATTTTAAATTACAGTCACAACAAACTAAAAAATATATGTGTAAGAGACTCTGATTCCTCTTTATTGCTGATGCAGGAACCGTGTGAGAAATTTAAAAATACCTCTCTTCTTGTAACTACTTTAAATGACACTCAGAATAATATTATTCTGTATAGCGATGGATGGATATACATATAGGTTTGCAACTTGACTACAAAGACCACAATTAACAAATATGTATTATTTATGATATAAGGGAAATGACGGGACGAACAAGTTGCGCGCCCAGTGGCAAGCGCCACGTCTATTCACAGATGCTGCGTATTGCCATTCAGAACTTCAAATCGCAAACCATCCGAGGGGCACCGCCACCGCGCTCGTCACTCCGAGACACAAAGGTGACTAATCCCAAGTGCCTACAATTTCATTAGCAGCCACACCCCTCAAAACCGGAACGCAACAATGCCCACTGTTATCCGATTATGGAATTCCCTTCAGTAAAAGTCGCAGGAAATGAAAGCAATATGAGATATAATTTACATGTGTAATTACATAGTTTGTCATTTCGTTATAGACTTATAGTAAATTCCATTCTGTTGATACTTATAATTTTATTTTAAATTACTAACTTCTTTATTTGACTTATGTCAAATCTCTTATCTTATGATAGGCATTATTTTACAAGTTATTCTAGGTGGCAGATAACAGAATTGTTGTCACATTACCAAATTGTTGGCTATCAGACAGCTGCTTCTGTTGACAGGATTCAATTTACTGACATTAAACAGTCTATTCAAAACTCAATTTACAAATATTTCAATTAATACGGCAATAGAGAGGAACTGTAACAACACATCGCCAGCAAAAGAAAGCCTTTTTAAAAAGTGTGTGAACAAAATCAATCGAACATTAAATCTGCTTCATCAGATTATTCGGAGAATTTGCGGTGCGTGATTCTACCAGCTGCAAATTGTTGTTCGAAAATACTAAACATATATGATAGCGCCTACGACTTTTTTACCCGCGATTTAGCTTAAATAATAGAATTATTGTTGATTATTTTCAATTAAGTACCTTAATGTAATAAGCTCTTGTATAATTAAATTATTATGTTATTTAATTATTACACTACAAATTAATTACAGCCTCGTGGTGTTTTAAAAAAAAAACGATCAAAACAAAAAGCCTTGCAACTTGTTTTGATCGCATATAAACACACGAGGTTTGCACTGTGTACGAGCTGCTTGTCTCGTACAGTAATATGTCAGAATATGTCAGGTGATATCAGCGAGATGACGCAGGGAGATGTCAAAGATGCTGTAGAAATAATACTCGACCGATACCACGGAGTAACTTTATTGTACTGAAAATTATAATTTATACATATTGCACGTGCACAATGTAGGGTGCGACGTTGCATATTGTCAGTTGCACAATAATGTACGTTGACCCGTACATACTCCCAACACACAAGGAAGAAATATAGTAAAAATGTCATTAAAAATTGTAAATATGCAAAATATAAATCCTATAAATTAACAATGTAAAATTTTTAAATATTTCAACTTAAAATATAAAAACTGTTCTTAAATATTTCACTTACATGTCACTATAAATTGTCAACTTAAAAATTTAATATAAAAACAAATTAAGAGCAACAAAAATATTAATTAACTAGGTTTGTGGAATTATTTAAATCGAAGTGAATTTTCTTCGGCATCGTTGGCGAGGTACCGGTGTCCACACTCGCCATGGAACCTCTCAATGCGCTAGTCATTCTTCCGGACGGCAACATAGAGCGTGGCGCAGTGACTATTACGTCAGTGAGTGACGTCTCATCCATCGCAGAGAGATGGGTAGAACTATGTTGCGCGGGCGCTCTTTCTTGCAGGTTGCATCGCTTAGATTTTATGTAGCATCCTAAGATCCCGAGTAATGATAATACTAGTCCAATGATGCTTGTGTAGATAATAATGTAGTGCGTGTTATTGCTGTTGGTAAACTGTTCTAATTGTTGTTGCTTCATGATGTCAATCTTCTGTTGGATTTCTTCATAAGTTTTTTCATGGTTTTCAGGAACAAAATTGTCAGGTAATGATATATTCATGGTTTCGTTCAATGATAACTGAGTGTCTTGCATGTCAAGGACAACAGTGGGACGTATATTTACTTGATTGATATAATCATGCTGAGAATATATCAAAAACTTATCTCCTTTAATCACACATCCCGGTTCCGGGCTTAATAGTCCATTGCCTCGTAATTGTTTAGTTGTTATTTCCGACGAACATATGATTCGAACGCGGCATTCGATGCAACATGAGTATAGCCATGTGTCACGTGCATGCAATTTGATCCACCTATCAGCACATTTCTTTGCGACAGGTGTGCAATATGGTTTATTTTCATTATTTATTTGCATTTGTAAGTCGCACAGGGATTGCCCCATGGTCATTGAATATATGGGCTGATTCACCGGGCAAAACATCTGTTGATCAGTGTGATGGATGCAGTGTTGCATGTCATTTTCTGTCATAGGTATTAGCGTATCTTTTTTAACATTCACAGCTAAATATTTTGTTGCGGTGGTTGTATAAACAACGCTTCCCTGTTTTCTTTGAGGCATGTCAATAATCTTATTTAACTCGAAGGAATCGCGGTTTAAAAGCGGTATATTTATTTCTATGATCAGTAAGTTTTTAGTCACTCTTGCTTTCACGTGCAGGAGACCATATAAATCTCGTATATTGTCAGTTGGCAAGACTAGGTCACTTTGCAATTGTGCTGATATGGTGTTTAACTCTTGTTGTAGCTGCTCTGGTTCCAACTCATATGTTGGAACCAGAGCAGCAGATGTTCAGACGACTATGGTAAATGTCAGTAACCATTTCTAATAATGAATCTTGAATTCGGCGAATGTTAGTCAATATAACATTAACTGATATCAATGATGACATAATATGAAATGCTTGTAAAGTATTTTGGTTCGCCTTTTGTATTCCATTCATTTCGGAAGTGATAACTTTCAGATGCTTGTAGATATAATCGAATTGGGTGTTCATTAACTGTTCGTTTCGTTTGAGTATGTTGTTCTGAGCTTCGACTAACGAAGTTTGATTTTTGAATAGAGTTAGTAAATGATCTTCTCTCCGACGCACAGTTTCAATGTCTTTTTCATATTTTTGAGCAAAATTGTCATCCAATACTCCAAATAAAGCGTTTGCTAAATTTCCAACGCCATTGAAGAATCCTCTCTTTTTTCTACGTGAAAGATGTTCATAATTTGTCAATAATTCATTATAGTGACGTATTTCGCTGAGTTCATGATTGAATTGCGCAATTACAGGTGAACACGAGCTGTCATGATTGCAGTTTGCGGTCACTGTTTTAATATAGTTTTTCACTGCTGTCATGCTTTCCCAATATGTACTCATATTATAATACACAACCATCTTCCAGTGATCCTGAATAATACGGGTATCTGCAATCTTGTCAAAGTACAGGGTGTTGTTATTGTCAAGACTCTTTATGGTTGTCATTCTTCCTTGTATAGGAGTAAAAAATGTCAGTAAAATTGTCATTGTCATGAGAAGTAGGTTGCACATGCGATTGTTCTTCTTTATACATCTGGTGGAGGCTGGTTGTGGTTTGTCAATGTCTGATTGAGTATTGACCGGCAGTGGTACAAGTTTAATAATTGGCCGTTTAAGATGACCGCCTTTCGTTTTCAGGGTTACTACCCTAACGTGTCCGTCTGTGCCGGGGTGTACTTCTGTCACTCGTCCTAACGCCCATTTTGTTGGTGGCATATTTTCTTCTTTTATGAAAACAATGTCATTAATCTTCAAATTGCACTTTGGATAATTCCATTTGTATCTTTTTTGAAGATGTTGCAGATAATCTGATTACAATTTCTTCCAAAAGTCGCGATTCATTCTTTCTATCAGTTGCCATCTTGTTTTTATGCACTTGTCATTTATGTCTGTCATGGGAGGTGACAATAGTGGACCTCCAACCAGGAAATGCCCTGGGGTTAAGTAATCGTCTTCTGGATTCTCTGTTAACGCATACAGCGGCCTGGAATTGAGGCATGCTTCAATTTGAGTCAGTAATGTAGAAAATTCCTCGTATGTCAGCTTTTGTTTACCTAATACACGTTTCAGATGATGTTTAGTGCTCTTGACTGCTGCTTCCCAGAGACCACCGGCACTAGGCTATACTGGAGCATTTAAGTGCCAAGTAACACCCATGGTAGATATGTCAGCCAGGAATTCTTTAGTGATAGTTTGTAGAACCTCTTTGTATTCTATCTTTAAAGCGCGTGATGCACCAACGAAATTAGTGCCGTTATCACCGTATACGTGCTTTGGTGTACCTCTTCTCGCGCACATCCGCTTGAAGGCGGCAAGGAATGCAGGTGTGCTAAGGTCGGATACTAGCTCTAAGTGTATTGCCTTGGTTGCAAAACATACAAAAACTGCGATGTAGCCTCGGGTAGTCTTAATTCCTCGTCCTTTATTTGCTTTCAATTCTACTTGTCCCGTGAAGTCAACTCCGGCGTGTGTGAAAGGCCGGGAGGGCGTCACTCTTGGTTCTGGTAAATTTGCCATCAGTTGGGACTGGGTACGATGATTAAATCGAGTACATCTGACACAGTTTTTTATGTATTTCTTAACTGTGCGACTTCCTCCTAACACCCAGTAATTTTGCCTCAAACATGTCAAAGTAAGTGTAGGACCACCATGTAGCGTCTTTAAATGAGCTTGATTTATCAATAATTCTATCAATCTGGAATCCTTGGGTATAATTATAGGATACTTTGTGTTCTCGTTGAGTTTTGAATGACGTAGACGTCCTCCCACTCGCAACAGATTATTTTCATCCAAAAAGGGTTGCAATTGTAGTAAATTACTTTTCGTTATGACAACACCTTTTCTTTTTAATTCCGAAATATCCGATCGGAACTCTTTAGTTTGTATCACACGAATTACTATTATCAATGCATTATTTATTTCACTCGCTGTTATGTAATTCGTATTGTCAGGTGCATCGCGGCTAATGCCCTCGGTGTCATGTTGCGATCTTGACGATTGTAATCGCGACGACACGCGGTGACGCACAATGTTTATGAAACGTGAGATTCGAGCAATCACTCTTACTATATGCATAATCGAGTGATGTTTATGTAATAATTCTTCAATAATGTCAGTAGTTTCGACCATTGTCGCGCATATTTGGGGCTCGTTTTTCATCTCAATCTGAGGCATGTCAATCGTATGAGTGTCATTTTTGGAAATTGGTTTCTTGATCCACGCAGGTCCTTTCCACCAGAGCGTATGTTGTCAACTGAGAAGTGGTAAGGCCGCGAGTTGCGCAATCAGCTGCATTGTCATTTGAGCTCACATGTCGCCAGCACGAAACTGGCATAATGTCAAGGATTTCTTTTGTACGGTTAGCAACAAACGCCTTCCAACGAAACGGCTGTCCTTGAAGCCAACCCAGTACGACTAAGGAATCCGTCCATCCGTATATTGAAATGTCAGTGTGTGGAAACGCTTTCAAAACTTTCTGCATTAGTTTTGATAACAGGAGAGCGCCACACAGTTCTAATCGTGGTAATGTCAAAGTATTCTTCCATGGTGCCAGTTTTGTTTTAGAGCAGAATATTCTAACAATTGATTCGTTCATGTCATTTGTGGTTTTTATGTAAATCACTGCTGCGTAAGCTTGTTTGGACGCATCACAGAATCCGTGTATCTCTATTGATGCGTGAATATTACCAATCCATCTTGGGATTTGAAATTTGTCAACATTCTGCAAGTCATCACTGAGTTTGTTCCATTTTTTCAAAATGTCACATGGAACTTCATCATCCCACTCCATTGTCACTAACCAAAGTTTTTGGAATAATAATTTGGCTCTTATTGAGAGTGGAGATAGCCACCCCAATGGGTCAAATATTTTGGAGATTTGTGATAAAAGTGTTCGCTTGGTTGTCTTTGTTTTGTTATTGTCAATTGGACGGAAAGTAAACATGTCAGTGGCGGGGCTCCATTGTAACCCGAGCGCCTTCGTTGAGTTTGCATTTTTAAAATCCATTGTTGTCGGGTTGATTTGATCAGCTGATAGTTCCGACAACAGTTCTGCACAGTTACTTGACCATTTTCTCAAGTTTATTTTCGCACCTTGGAACATTTTTATTAATTGTTGTTGAACTTCTTTTGCATCCGAGAGAGAGTGGTTCCCTCCGAGCAAATTGTCGACATAAAACTGGCGTTGCAACACTTCAGCAGCCAATGGGTATTTCTCTTTGTCATCACTTGCTAATTGTTGCATAGTGCGCATAGCTAAGAACGGCGCAGCTTTCATGCCATATGTAATTGTACATAATTGATATTCTTTCAGCCTGTCTTGTGGATTATCTCTCCATAAGATTTTTTGCAAATGTTGCTGATCTTCTTGTAGAAGTATACACCTATACATTTTTTCACAGTCTGCAGTGTATACGTATTGGTAAATACGCCATCTAAATAAAAGATCTTGTATGTCTTTCTGTAGTTTTGGGCCACACTCCATGAGATCATTGAGGCTTTTTCCCGTAGATGTTGGCGAGGAAGCATTAAAAACTGCACGAAGTTTAGTAGTGGTAGACTCCTCTCGATATACATCATGATGTGGCAAGTAACACATAGGCTCTTTGCGCTCCTTGCATTCTATCATGTGCCCTAAATCTTTGTATTTGTGCATAAATTTTTGATAGCTGTCACGCAGATGTGGCTTTTTCATTAGACGTGATTCCAACTGTTTAAATTGTGCTGCTGCCCGGGCTTTAGATTGGCCGAGCTCATTTTCAAAATTATTCTTTAAGGGCAGACGGACTTCGTATCTTCCATCTGGTAGACGCCTTGTGGTATTGACGTATAATTCTTCGCAAAACTGCTCTTCTCTAGTCATTGTGATAGAGGCATTCGCTATTTCTTCCACCTCCCAATATGCAGAGATATCTTCAATGTTATTGATCACTACGCTGCATTGAAGCGGTGACTGTACTGGTCCAGACAAAATCCACCCTAATTTTGTCTGTTGAGCGATTGGCTGATTTTCAGATCCTTTGATCAACCCGCTCATTATTATTCGGGAGTAAATGTGTGCACCTAGCAAAATGTCAATTTGTTTTGAAACGTTATAGCTAGGATCGGCGAGCTGTATATGTTCGATATGATGATAATTTTTCTTAAATGTTGAATGAGGTAAATTGTTTATAAGTTTTGTCAATATCATTGCTTCCGCAGTAAAATTATAATTGTCATGAATAGACATGCAGTGCAGTTGTATTTTTCCTTTGCCTTTTTTCGCCGAATCACCCACTCCTAATACTGCTGTGTTCACATGTTGACGGGGGAGGCCAAGGCGCTGAGCGGCATTTTCAGTTATAAGGGTGGCTTGTGAACCCTGATCTAAAAGTGCTCTCAATTTTATGTATGTATTGTCTATAGCACGTACTTGAATCTGCACGGTAGCCAATAAAATTTCGTCATTTTTATTTGTCACGTTGTTTGCCATGCGCTGATGTTGAGGTTTTGATGGCGAAGTCCATCCTTTCGTTTTTGTGTTATGCATCGCATCATGCAGCAAGGTATTGTGCAATCCATTGCACGTTTTGCATCGCTTATTTGATCGACATACATTCCGCTCGTGGAAGTATAAACAATTTTTACATATTTGATTTTTGGTTATTACTTGCAGTTTAGCGTTAGAAGCTAAATTTTCAAATTTATGGCATTGATATAACATATGATCATTGCTGTTGCATAAAATACAGCGTGGCTTGGCTGTAGTTGTGTTCATAGCCTTCATATAATATGACGATCTATTGCCACTGTATGTCAGTTTTTCTTTCACGTTATGTGGCGTTGATAGCTTCGGCGACAACCAGTCATCTCTTTCTTTTTTCTGTATGGGCTCAAGTGCTATAAATTTGGTTTCTAAAAATGAAGTAAATTCCTCCAATTCGGGAAGATCACGGGGCGCCTTCCGCGACTCTTTGTATTCACTTCTCGTTACAGGATCCAATTTCTTCAGCAAGAGATGAACAATAAGGGGATCCCATGAAGCAGTATCCACGCCCAAATTGTGGATAGCATGGATACACTCCACGGTAGTGTCATGCAGGCGCTTAAGCTCAGATGATGATTGTTTGTTGACGTTGCGTTGGTTAAGAAATACTTCTACGTGTTTCGTAAATAGTAATTGAATATTATTATAGCGATGGTATAATAATTCCCAGGCTGTTATATAATTATCTGCCGATACATTTAAATGCTGAATGAGACGTTGTGCTTCGCCTCTCAACTTTCCCTTCAAATGCTGCATTTTCTGTGCGTTTGTCAAGGAAAAGTTGTCATGTATACTGCTTTTGTACAGGTCCAGGAACGTAGGCCATTGTGTATAGTCCCCATGGAACGGTGGAACTTCTAATTTTGGCGTAGATTCGAATTGATGCACAGTTGATAAAATGTTCTTATTTAAAAGCCGTTTCATGTCCTTGTAATTCTTCTCAAAAGCAGAATATTCTTCTTCATATTTCTTATCTCCGTCGCTTGATACACTGTCAATTTTTAAATGCAATTTGTCAATATTCTCCCACCGTGATTGCAAACTTTTTAATTCATCTTCCAGTTCCCATTTTTCTGTTATTTTGTCGATGTTAATATTATTTATTTGGCGTAGTAATGCACGAAAATTGGACTTCTGCTCACTCTTCAACTCGTCTGCTGCTAGCTTCACACCTGCCCCTTCCATGTTGGGAAAGTAGTTCATAAGCAGGTTGCGTATTGTGTCATAAAGATTTTTTGTGTCATTGTAGATATTCTTTACATAGTAATCATGTGTTTTTTCATATTCAGAGCAAGAAAGTTGAGCATTGTTGCTGTCAAATTGTGCCCATAAACTGTCAAGGGCGATTACCCTTTTTTGTAGGTAGTCTTCCGTCTTTCTCGAGGACGAATCCTTATTAAAATTCCTGTGAATTGTTCTGATAGATTCTATTATCTCCTTTTGACGAGCAAGAAGTTCTTCCATTGTTGCACTGGATGTATACTGTCAACGATAATGTCAATAAATGCAGATTAAACCGTTGTTGTTACGGCGATGTCAAATTTCACTGTAATATATTTATGTCAATAAAATGAAGATTAAATCTTGTAAATGTACTACCACTTATGTCGTGACGATATGCAATGAACGTCTATTCGTTCTTACCGCTGCTGTTACGGTGATGTCACTTTACACTGCAATATATTTACGCACTCACAAATGTCACTGTTTTGTATAAAATGTCACTGTTTTATATAAATGTCACTATGAATTATTGAATTTATGTCAAAATTGTCAAGAATCCATATGCCGATTTTCATCAGCGATTTTGCACTCTTCGCACGATCGTTGACCGCTCGTCTCAACTTAACTGGTGAGACCCGCTTCTGGGAGGCCAGTTAAGCCGATGCGCTAATCGTACTCTAAGATACAAAACTCACCTAAGAATCAAAACTCGAAGAACGAACATATGGATCCGGCTCGAAGGACCAACATGTACGAGCTGCTTGTCTCGTACAGTAATATGTCAGAATATGTCAGGTGATATCAGCGAGATGACGCAGGGAGATGTCAAAGATGCTGTAGAAATAATACTCGACCGATACCACGGAGTAATTTTATTGTACTGAAAATTATAATTTATACATATTGCACGTGCACAATGTAGGGTGCGACGTTGCATATTGTCAGTTGCACAATAATGTACGTTGACCCGTACACACTGTATAATTAATTGTTATGTCATATTACTACCTATGAAAATACCTATTTAATTGTAATTATAATTATTAATTAGTATTACGAACTAGTTATAGTCTCGTTGTGTTTTTTAAAACTATCAAAACAACGAAACACATGCAGTCATTTGTCACGCCACAACCCTAACAGCCCACCGGGCAACTTGTTTTGATCGTCCTATAAATACCCGAGCGTCGCACCGTTTTATTCATTCTTGTCTGAAACCTCGAAGAATAAACTGATATCCAACAACCATCTGGACTTATTTTATTATGGACCCGTCACGTTTCCTTCATGCGTCAACATCAGAAGCGAGGTCCCAGCGCCAAGACGCCGCCACCCTGCCTGAAAATCAAAAAGACGAGTCAGGTGATATCAGCCCATCAAGGTATTCACCTATTTTGCAACCAATCCCGCCTCAACCACAACCAGCAGACGAAGTATCTCTGCTTCGTAAACAAGTGGATCTCCTAGAAAGGATACTATTCAGACCATCAACATCACAATCTGCTCTACTGCTGTACTATTCCTAAGATGTACAAAAGTATATAAGTAGTAAGATTCGTTGAATAAATATTACGCGCACGGGTCGGACAAGCCACGGAGCCGACCACAGTGCAGCCCGCTCCGCCCACGGAAACTTTGCCACTACCCAATCTCCGGCTATCTTTCTCTCCGGTCTCCCTCCGGCCTCCCACAAGCGTCTCACCGGAGGGGCTCGGAGGGGGGATAGCTGCCCGGAGCGCGGGTTACGGTCGTACCGCGCGTGACACCCCCCCGGATACCACCATGCCGCCGCCGCCAGTACCCCCGACGAGGCAGCCGACGCGTCCAAAGCGCCTGGGGAGGGTGAGAACCCGAATATTCTCCCGCACCGGCCGCGACATCCTGGACGTGGTGCTGGCCGCAGCATCCGCGTCCACAGCCTTAACCCCCTCCCCTCCCGTGGGGGGAGGCGAAGAATTCTTCCCTGGCGTCATGCCGGGCCCGTCCAAGCGCCCGGCGTTGAACCCATTGCTCCGAGAGCCGCGGCGCAGATCACCAATCACACCACCATCGAGCGCCGGGCTGTCAGTATCGGCGTTCGAAAGCGTGTTCTCCGCGCCACCTCCGCCCCCAACCAAGGGAAGTAAAGCCGCGTCCGCGCGCGTGCCGGCATCGTCCGCAGCAGCACGCCCGCAACCACCTACTGCGCGCCAGCCACGAGCTGAGCCCGCCGCGACCACCTCCGCCTGCGCCACCAGCAGAGGCGCTGCCATCGTCGCTGCCGCTGAGCGCCCCGCAAAAAGCTGCCCCCCTCCGCGGCCGGCGACCCGCACCACCACCGCGAGCGTCCGCCTCAACCCTGCCCCGCCACGTGCCACTGCGGCAGGGATGCCTGCACGCCCGCGGCCCACTGTGTCCACCCGTGCAGCCACGACAGCCACGCGCACCACCGCCAATGCCGCCGTCGTCAACAACACGGCAGAATAGCGCCAACCGCGCTCGCAAGCGTCGCCGCCCCTGACGCGAACTAGGGCGACGGAGGCACGCTCACCGCCGCCATTGTTCACAGCAGTTACCGCTCGCAGCTCCACATCACCGTCGGCCAGCGCGGCGCCGTCGATGCCAGGCCTCGGTTCACCGATGGACACAGCTCCGACACCGAAGACCCCGACGCCGGAGCCCCCGACGCCGGAGCCCCCGACGCCGGAGCCCCCGACGCCGGAGACTACACCTCCCAATGAGCCTACGGCACCGACGGCCCCGCCGCCCGAAAAGATCCGGATCCGTAGGGCCGGATCGTGGAGCACCTACCAAACTGGGCGCACCACTTCAGGGAGCTGAAGAGACAGCTGTCCCGCGCGCCCAACGCCCGCCCCTACGGGCGGGGCGTACGATTCCTCCCGAGGGACGAAGTGGAGTACCGTCTGGTGCAGCGGTACCTAACCACCTTGAAGAGGGAAGAGGGTATCTCCTGGTTTGCCTACTCCCTCCCAGCAGAGAGATCTCTAAAAGTGGCCATCCGTGGCCTACCAGCAGAGACCGACACCGAAGACATTCTCCAGGAACTCCGCGAGCTCGGCTTCGCCCCGGAGTACGCAAGACCGATCAAGGCGCGCGCTGGACGACCGGGCTGCCTATATTACGTGCAGCTCCAACGGAACCCAGACACCATCCCCCGGATATATGAGGTGAGCGAGCTGCTCTGCATGTCCGGGGTGCGCATCGAGGCCTGCCGCGGAAAGCAAGGCAACGCACAATGCCACCGCTGCCAACAATTCCGGCACGCGTCGCACAACTGCCACCGCAAGCCTGCGTGTGTGCGATGCGGCGAGGAACACGCCGCCCGCGACTGCCCGCGCCCGCTGGAGGAACCACCGACGTGTGCCAACTGCGGAGGCCCCCACCCCGCCAACAACACCTCTTGCCCGGTTTTCCGCGCCGAAAACCGGAACAAGAAAGCCGGCACTATAGCCCGCACCGCCGACGCCGCCCGACTACGGCCATCGGAACAAGTCCCTCCGACGATGACGGTGACAGCAGAGCAAGATGCGCCCGAATCGCTGATGGCTGCAGCGAACGCACCACGCACCACCAGGAGGCCCCGGAAACGGAAGCCCAAGAAGCCCACCAACCAGCCGCAAGAGATGGCCGCCCCTCCCAGGGAGAATGAAAGGAAGGCCAGCGACGGTAGCGGAACCCCCTCCCCCAGAAATGGGGGCGCGGGACGGCGCTATCACGAAGGCAATCCTAATTCCAATCCCAACGATCCTCAGAGGGATGGCCGATCTGTACACCCGCTGACACCAAGTCTGAGGATCGTGACCTGGAACGCTGACGGACTCTCTGCCCAGAAAACCAGGTTACTACAGTACCTCGTCGCCGAGAAGAAGGTTGACGTGGCCCTAATCCAGGAGACCCACCTTAGAACCCAGGACCGGCTCAAGATACCCGGCTACCACGTGTACCGGAAGGACGAAATGTCACCACTAGGAGTGGCGTACAGGGGCCAAGCCATCCTAGTGAAACGGTCGCTCATCCACCAACCGCTGCCAACACCTACGGACCTCCAGACTTCGTACGCCATCGGGATCGAGGTCGACCTGAACAGCCGCCCCACCTGTGTGTACACCTTGTATAGACCACCTGAGGCAAAGTTGGTGGAGTCTGATATCCGTCATCTGATGGGATCAGACCTACCAACTCTCGTAGCAGGGGACTTCAACTGTAAGCACACGGCGTGGAACTCAAGCCGAGTCTGCCCGCAAGGTAGACGACTGTTCGACCTCTCCGAACGCAGCGGCTACGAAGTCATAGGACCTGAAGTCCCGACCCACTACCCATATCGGGCGACCCACTCTCCGGACGTCCTAGATATTGTGGTAGTGAAGGATGTACCCACAACACCAGCCGTAGAAGTACTGGATGAGCACCTCATTTCTGACCACCAAGCCGTCCTGATTACCCTGGAAGAGTCGCCAACACGGACAGTGCCTCCTCGACCCACACATCGACAGAATTGGGAAGCCTTCGCCGACTATATGGCGGAGAAAACACCCTCACGCCCAGTGCACAGCGCCGAAGAAGTTGATCAGCTAGCTGAAAACTTCGCCCACAGCATCCGCGCAGCGTTAGAAGCTACTGCCAGCACCCCTTCACGCCACAAACGCACCCAACAAACTCTCCACAGAATCCTGTCGATGATAGGATGAGGAGAAAAAGAAAACTGCGTCGACAATGGCAGGTAACCCGATGCCCAACCACGAAAACCCGGTTGACCACCATGGCTGCAAGGATTTCGGAAGAGCTGGAAGCCCATGCCACCGAATCCTGGCAACACACCATCGAGTCAACCGGCGATGACTGGAACGGCATCCACAAACTATGACGCCATCTCAGCGGGAAAGCGCAACCTGTGCGCCCCTTACTAGCCAGTGACGGAACCCCCCGTTACAGAGCCGAAGACCGCGCTGAGATCTTTGCCGACCACCTCGAGACGCAGTTCCGCCCAAACCCGTCCGTGAACCATTAGCATGCAGCCAACATTCAGCAGCACCTCGAAAACTACTTCGCTACACCGATAGCTTCCGACGAGGACCCCATTGTCTTCTCGCCAGGACAAATCCTGCGTATGACCCGCCGAGCCAAAAGGAGGAAAGCTCCCGGACCAGACCGGATCACAAACGAAGCCCTCCGTCACCTACCGCCGAAGGCGATCGCCGCGATGACCGGTATATTCAACGGCATCATGCGGACAGGTCACTTCCCACACTCCTGGAAGCTCGGTCGAGTCATGTTGCTCCCGAAACCGGGGAAAGACATCCTGAAACCGGAAAGCTATCGGCCCATCGCTCTGCTGCCCACCATCTCTAAGGTTTTCGAGAGGTTGCTGCTGCTGCATCTGACTCCACACATCCAGCCACGCGACGAGCAGTTCGGCTTCCGAGCCGAACACTCCACGTCTCTCCAGCTCGCCAGAGTGCTCCACCACATGACGGTGGCTTCTAACAAGAAGGCACACACCGTCGCAGTTCTTCTGGACATGGAGAAAGCGTTCGACCGCGTCTGGCACCCTGGCCTGCTGTACAAGATCTCCACTTCTACTACTCCTCGTCGAGTAGTTAAGACAGTGGAATCTTTCCTGAAAGGTCGCCGCTTCCACGTAGCGGTGGAGCAAGTGACCTCTTCAGAACGCACCATCAGCGCCGGAGTACCACAAGGAAGCTGTCTGTCACCCGTGTGTTACGCTCGATACACGGATGACATCCCCTTGGCGGAAGGGGCCACCCTGGCCTTGTACGCCGACGACGCCGCGTACCTCACCACCTCCATCACCGCGTCTCACGCGGCGCTCAAGATGCAGCGCCAACTAGACATGCTTCCTACCTGGCTGGATGACTGGCGACTATCGGTCAACGTCACCAAAACCCAGGCGATCAGCGTGAGCACCTCGAAGAAGATGCCACCGAAGCTGACACTGATGGGCCAACCTATCGAGTGGTCCCCCACGGTGAAATACCTAGGGGTGACAATCGATAGAAGACTATCTATGGCCCATCACATCAAGAACGTCGTGCAGAACACCCGCGCACTCCTGCGACCGATTCTCAAGTCCCGACTCCCACTACGAGTGAAACTCGGAGTGTATAAGACGTACATCAGATCCCGCCTAACATATGCAGCCCCAGCACGGTACGCGCTGGTAGGAGAGTGCAACAGGCAGCGACTCAGAGCTCAACAGTCGCTGACCTTGCGGTGTATCACAGACGCCCCACGATACGTGAGAAATGACGTCATCCAACGGGACTTGAGCATGGAGAGCCTCCACAGCTTCGTTGATCGCCTGGCCAAGACCATGTTCCGGCGCACCGGACAATCCCTGTATAGCCATATACAGGGACTGGCACCACACCGAGCCCAACACCCTGACGAGAAACTGCTTCCAAGGGACCTACTTGGGCCCGAGGAAGCCCCACCGGACTAGACACCAGCTGCTGAAGATGGTTGAGAAACCTGCCGGCCCACCGGCAGGGACTCCCATCTGTGTGCACCTGGAGACACTAAACGGCCCTAGAGGCACGAGTGAGATCCTTAGAGCAAACAGAGAGATCAAAAAACATAGAAATAGTGGGAGTAGAATATAAAGAGCGTGAAAATTTGAAGGAGGTAGTGGAAAAGATAGCGCAAAAACTGGATGTGGATTCTGCGGGTATCGAACGAGCCTGGCGGCTCCGTGCCACCAAGCATAATCCAAAATCACAGCTGACCTTCGGCCGCAACCTGCGACTGCCTGGCGATTTTTTCGTCGAATCACCATGTGACGTCGCTATGGATCACAATTACGTCACAAAAATAAAAGAATCCATCAACGCACTCAAACCATCATCGTCATTACCACCACACAACAATAAACGCGCAATATTCGTTCACCCTGCTTTACGAGATTGCCAGCAAGTGCTCCTGAGAGTCGACGCCGTCAAAAAACCACTGCAACCACCATATGACGGACCCTACCGCGTACTCAAAAAAAAGGACAAGGTGTTCGTGCTGCAACTACCAGATCGACAGGCAACCGTATCAATCGACCGCCTAAAACGTGCTTTCACGCCCGCGGATTGTACGACCGACACTGTCACAGCACCTGCAATTACCAAAGCGCCACAGAATCCCGCCAGAGAAACCACAACAAGGTCGGGACGCGCCGTGAGACCACCGGTACGCTTCGCTTAGAGGGGAGCCCTGTAGCTGCAAGTCATCCACGCATCCGCCGCGCTCAACGCATCGGCGTGCACTGAACGGCGAGCGCGCGGCGGGTCCTATTTATGCCTTCGCGCGCAGCCGCGCCGTAACATCTCTATGTACTACTTACTCACTTAGACTTGTACTATTCCTAAGATATACAAAAGTATATAAGTAGTGAGATTCGTTGAATAAATGTCACGGGACTCGATCACTGTCCTCATCCCAGTCGATTGTGTTTCAGATACCTG